TTGTATTGCGTACCAGTGCCATTGTTCATAGTCAGTCACCATTTAACTCTGGTTGAGTCACAATACACCAGGAAAGTAAAGAATCAAAAATAAACATTAACCATAAAATTGTCTATATTACATATTTACCTTTGCAGTCAGTTAAAGATTCATCCCTCATAAAGTATCTTTGGCACTGAAAATTACAACATGCACTAGGGTAATCCATTTGTCTATGCTGTGTCTCCCTCTCATTCACATTCATTTTGTTAGAGTGCTGGCAGCCTTCAATCGCAAAGGGCATCAGAATGTGAAAGAAGACAACAGTGGTCCTTGAAACTCAGTTCCAAGCAGAATTCCTTAGGGTCCCTTTCAGTCCTTCTGCATCAATGTCTTGAGGTGGGCGTAAACAGCCGTGCTTTTAATAAGCTTCCTAGATAGGTCTGAATTACATATGGCTCACCCTTTGGAAAACAGTGATGTAGGTAATTACAAGATAACAGTCCCTTAGAGATAATCAAATCTGATTATATAACTCCAAGTTGGATTATTATCCTCCTCAAATCAATGGTCATTATTCTTGTCCCTGGTCCAGGAAGTCACCACCATCTCTCCCTGGACCTGACCATTATTTCCAAGTTGGTTGTCTTGCTTTCATTTTTGCCCTCTCCAATCCCTTCTTTAGAACTTGCCTGAAAGACTTGCATACTATAAGTCTCACCACATCACTCCCCTTAGACTTTTGAGTGACTGCTTAAATGGTTAGGGATTTCCTTTGGGGGTAATAAAAACAGTTTAGAGTACAGATCATGGTTGTACAACACCATGAACGTACCACATGTACTAAATATCACTAAATTGTTTAATTTAAAATGGTTTGTTTTGGGCCTCCCTGGTGGCGCAAGGGGTTAGACGCAACCTCTGAAGCTAGCCACAGCCACTGCAGCATGAGTTTGATCCCCGGCCAGCCAGGAAGCAACCCACATGGCACAGCAGACCTCTCCTGAATCGCCTGCTGCTCCCCTCAGCAGTGTATTTCAGTAGATTTGCCAGTTCTGCTCCCCACTCTGTCTCTGGTGATTCCTCTCACCCGCCCACATACACCTCTGGCCTATGCCCCAGCTCTTATATGCATAAATAAATAAATATTTTAAAAATAAATAAATAAAATGGTTTGTTTTATGTTATGTGAAAAGAAGAAAGACAAGACAAAAAAAAAAAAAAAAAAAAAGCCAAACAGACTCCCCCTTCCAGTTAGTAGATAAAATGCCATGGCCGAGTTGGAGCAGCACAATCAGACACTAACCTACACTACACCCCAGCGGCCTCGTTGCCAGCACTCTCTGCACTGCAGTCACACTAGGTATCTTTCAGAGATCCAAAAACCAGATTCCTTCTCATGTCTGCGCTCTACACTAGTGACTGTCACCTGGTTAACTCAGGCACCCTTCAGATCTTACTTTATAAACTACTCTCCCAATATAAGCTTCCCCTCTCCCAGTCTTCACCCTCATGATCCCTTTCCAGAAAAAACTGATTCTTCCCTAGACTTATCATGAGTCCCAATTATATAATTATTTCCATTTTCCTTGATATCCTTTCTAGTGAACTGTGCACTCCCAGGAGGACAGGAACGGTAATCATTTTTGTTCACTACTGCATTCTAGCACCTAGAGTGAACTTGGCAAAGTAAATACTCATCTGGTACAATGAATGCATGTAACACGCTTTCCCCAAAAAACATCAGATCTCTACTACAAAGTGACTTTCAAGCTTGGTCACAATATTATGTGAGATTTTTAAGTATAAATACACACATACACATGAAATAATGTTGACACATATATACGCCAACAATTCACTTAGTTGAAAAAAATCAGAAATTACGGCCAACTCATCACAATACAGAGTGTACCAGCCAAGGCATAGAAAACAACTTCTCCGCCATCTAAGGACTAGCTTTTGGGTTTCTGACAGGATCAAATCCCTAATGCCCAAGACAATTCCATTTTAAAATGCCTCTTCTTGCCACTGCACATTACTGAGTAATAAGGAAGGAAATAAGGAAAGAAAGACTAAATCTTTGCAGAAGGGGCAACTGGAATGTCTGCAGACCAGGCTTGAGACGGCACCACCTTCCTGAAGGAAAGTACACCCAATGCTATCAGGGGAATGGGAAAGAAACTCCCACAAGAGCAGCCATAATGGGTGTTTTGTTACTAACAAATTGTTCTTTAGTGGTTATAGGTATGCACGTGATTCAATCTTTTCCAATCTTGCACTCACATTAAGTAGAACCCTAATTTGTCTGTGAGGCTGAAATGTTTCTTAATTGTTTGTCATCAAAGTTTATGTCCATTTAAAGTAAGTTTATTTCTTTTCCATTGTCAGCTCACACATAGCCACCTAAATCAGGAATCTCCACCACACATTCACTTCTGATCTTAATGGAGAGCAAAGGCAAGCAAGCAGCCTTCCACACACATTCCAAAGAGATCCATCTGCTCATAACTGTGTGCACCAACCCACAAACATTCCCCAGCTCGTCCCCCTGTAAGGGCAGGAGAACATCAGGACCTGAACACATGTACTACCCATCCCACAGCCTACTTTTCAATGCTTACATTCTTCTTTAGTCAAAAGCTTTGAATTTCCCCAGGTCCAAGTCCATCAACATGATGGGGAACTGCAAGGTCATTAATCCTAAGAATACTCCCAGGTGAATGGCAAGGCCTTAAGGTACTGCTCCTGGTATCTGGATGGGGCACCTACGACTGGATTATTTGTGCAAATTTTGGAACATCTTAGTTGGAGACAGTGCTAAAGTGTTTTCCTTGCTCCAATTCTCAGCCCTCCATGCTTAGTTGGGATGCCCTTAAAAGGGGGTAAAGCTGCCTAATATGCACAATCAACATGGTAGCAGCGAGTAAGAATGCTCTCCAACAGTGGGAGGAGTCTGAGCAGCTGGTCAGCATGTTATAGGGCAGCCCCGATACAAAATGGGGTTCCTGACTGTGGGTCCTCACCCGCGCGCTTAAAAGGACTTAGCAATGCTCTACTGCTGGCACACACGAAAGGTTAATAAAAGGTTTATTTACCAGGGAAGGGAAAATGAAAAAATGTACAGCTCAGGGAAAAAAGTGGGAGACAAAGTTTTAAATGTGTCCTACCCGATCCGCCAATCTGGAATCCCAAATGGCACTCAGAGCTGGCCGCGAGCCAGGAGCCGTGAAGCCAGGAGGCGAGCGACAGAGCGAGAGAGCCCAAGGCCCACGTGTTTGGTTTTTATACCCAACCTGGCTGCTTAACTCCACCCTCAGGTCCCAGCCACCTTCCCTTTGGTGGTGACAAAATTTGTCTTTCCCAATGTCCTAATGGCTTTGGTCTGGAGTGGGGGTGGAGTCCACAAAGCCTGTATGGAATTAGCGCAGGACATCCTTTCCCCCCACCAAGCACACCGCCTAACACCCAGCACCACGCCTAAGCAAGCCCAGTTTCTCTTTTGTGTCTCCTTTCTATCACGGTAGACTCCCAACTTTGCTTCTAAAATTGCTCTTTACTTGAAGATGCTGCTTGAGTCCTGTTTCCTTCATAGAAAAGTGTTCTGATTAATATTCTTCCCATTGTTTTGCTATATAACCACATATACATCTACAGGAATTCGATAATGCATATGAAAAACATCCTTGAACAGGAAAGTGAAGTGCCAAGAAAACCAAGTCCTTATGCAGCAGAGATCTGACCTGTAAACCAGAGAGCATTCAGGAGTCACGAGACAGATATGTTAATACGGGCACAAGAATATTACACACAGAGACGAGGTCAGGAAGAAATGCTGGCAGAAAAAAAAAATAGGGAAGGCTAGTGAAAGAGGGACTCAAGGACAGGACAGCAAAGACCCTAGAGGAAACTGCCAAAATGCCAAATACATTTGCAAAGAGAAATCAGCATTTGGATATCCAGACCCCAGAGGGAATGAATAGTAAGGAAAGGCACAGAGACCCTGGGGGAAGAAAAACAATAAGGTGTTTTCTATCCTAGCTGCCGCTAGCAAGATCTTTGCAGAGGTGGAAGTCAGAATGTTCAGAAGAAAACTTCTGGAGATTTATAATCCAGGAACCAGGAAAAGTCTAACTAGAAAAATAGAAATAGCTTTGAGTATTTTGCAAGGAAAAAACTTAATACAGATTTGGCTACTCGGGTGATGTAGCAGAGTCTAAACCAGGACAGTGTGGTAATTCACAGATCAGCAAGTGCAGGAGGCTGTACCTCCCCAGGTTGGGGTCAATAGCGGGAGGTGGTGTCCCTGGAGTCCCAGGGCCACGGTCACCTGGGACATGAGTGGTGCTACAGAAGGGGGATCCCCACTACTCGGGACACTGTGAAAAGTTAGAAGATAGGGGAGAAAAAACCTGGCTTCACCCTTATCTCTGCTGTCTCCCACCAGTACCTCCCATGCATTGAACCTCGCAAGCCAGCTGCATCAAAATTCTGGAAAGCAGCTTGCAGGGTGAGTCCCAACCCACACAAAGAGGAAGAGGAGAACTGGAAGGCAAGGGTAGAAATGCTGGTACAGGAAGAAGAGTGACAATGAGCAATAATAAGCAAGTGTATTTTACAGCAAATGTATTTGTAAAGTTTTGCTTATTGCCAATATAATAGTTACAGGGGGCTAAGAAAAGTGGAAGCACTGCCTTGCAGAGGGGTCTGTTGTCCTTCCTGCGACATTCATGTGGCCCCAGATTCCACTCTGCAAAATTACAGAGTTGGAAGAGGGTTAGGGAATTGGGTCTATGTTCCTCTGTTCAGTTACACTTAAGCCAGAACTAGTTTAACCAAGTGAAGTTTTTTGTTTGTTTGTTTGTTTTTCAAAATTCTAGAAGGGGCTCTTTTTAAAATAAAAATTTAACTATTGAACAGAAGAAGATACATTCATAACCATGTGTGCACACACAATATACAAACAAATGAATACAAGTTAAAACTGGGAAATCACAAGATTTGTGGAGTCTGTCACTTACTGTCAGGTTATGATACTGTACTATAGGCTTGCAAGATGTCATCACTGGGAATGGCTAAAAATACAAAAGATCTCTCTATATTATTTCTTACAACTGCATATGCATCTACAATTATCTCCAAGTAAAAAGTTTATTTAAAAATATCACAAATATGCGTATATACTCTAAGTTAACAAGGCAACTTCCTTTCCACTGTGTTTCACCCACTGCATCTCAGCCTCTTAACACTCATGTGCGTGCTCAGTCATTACTCTGTTCTCCCTGGTAAGCTCTTTGCTGACCCATTCTACAGCGTCTCTTATTTTGGTCTTCCCTTTGTCATTTGGCTGAATACCACTTTTGCAGAACTATGACAGTGTCAGATGGCTCTGGTTTGATTATTCAGCCTTTGCATTTCTGACTACAACCAGAATCAGATCATGAGTATCCATACATGGGACAATTAGAAGGCTGCCTGATCTTGTGTCCTATCATCCAACAAGCTTTAACATTTTTTTTCTTACATCGTTGTTTACTTTTGTACAATATTTGATTGACCCCTTATAGTCTAATCCCCACGAATAAGCCACCACATCACTCGTGAACTATCACCTTAGTCCCTTGTGCTCTTCTCTTCTCATTTTGACCTCTCTCCCTCCCCTCCCCCTGCTGTATATGTCTTAGATCTATAAGATGCCCAGTAATTTTGTCCTTTTTTCTGACTTTGTTTTATATCCCTATATTCCTCCTGTAAGTGAAATCATCTGATATTTTTCTTTTTCCTGCTGATTTATTTCACTGAGCATAATCCCTTCCAGTTCTATCCATGGTACTTCAAATGGTATGAGTTTATTGTTTTGCGTCACTGAGTAGTATTTAATTGTGTCTATATACCACATCTTCTTGAGCCAGTCATCTGTTTTGGGGTATTTAGGATTGTTTCCGTATCTTAGACAAGCTTTACCCTTTAATTCAAAATGGTTCTCTTTACAGATTGATGCTTTCCTTCCCCTACTCTCTATACCCCTTGATCTCCCTTGGGAGCTAGCGAGCTAAGAATTTCCAAGAGAAACTAGTCAAAAGCCTGGCATGACAAAACAAGAAAAAAGAACCAGCCCTACTCTCAGCTACCACTCATTCACTTAGCTAAAATACAGGCTATCAGAGAAGCAGAGAAAACAATAGCTACAAGTGCATAAAGAATCATGTTAGGTCTTCAGAAATTGATGGTGGATGAAAATCACTTCTTAACCACCAGCATGGGAGAAAAAAAATCACTGTTTATCACAAACTGGATATGCATCACAGACATCTCTCTAACTTGCCTCTGTAACTCCACAAATCCTTCTGGTAAAATATAACTTTTTTCCTTTAATGATCGGGTAGTGAATTATTTATATTCTTCAATTTATCCTTCTGTCTTCTTTTATTTATGCCCAGAATTATATCTTAACTCTAGAAAGTCTGATCAAGACTACAGGCAAGGCAGAAGATGCTCAACTCCTGAGAGGGTGTCAAGTATAACACTCAGAGCAGGGGGGCAAGTAGGGAGAGGACTGAAATCTCACTTTTGGAGCACCATGAGTAAGGGCCCACAGGTCAAAGGCTATGTTATGCTGACTTTTCTAGACAGCTTTCCATCCAAATCCCTCTGCCTATCTCCATTCCCAGGTACTACCTCAGCACAGATGTGGCCTCACCTGCCCAAGCAGCGCCACCTTCTAGCTGACCTCCATGCCCCCAACTCTTCAATCCATTTCTCAGCCACCTGACAGCATGGTCTTTCTAAGCTGCAAATCAAAGTGACAATGCCCTCACCTAATTTCTTCAGTAGCTCTCTATCACCTAAGATGATCCCAAATTCACCTCATTATAAAAAACAACAGGGGCAGTAATAAAAGGTTACGTCAAGCAGATTCTTCAGTATCATATATGGGGTTACCCCAGACACAGAACTTGAGATAGAATTTAAGTGCTAGTCTCTTATTTGGGAGGGGATCCTAGGAAGTGCTGGCTGAGGAAAGGAAGACCAACAAAGAGCCAAAAAAGCAAATTCTCTAGCAGACTGCTGTTGTGGGCCCGAGGCTCAGTTTTGGTGGGGTACTCCGGACTCAGTAGAACTCGTGTCAGTTGTGGCACCCAAGGTCCAGGAGGCTAGCCCGTGATGGCCCAGCTCTCTCCTGTCATTGGATGTGGTCGACCCTGAGGTCATTAACTTCATGACACTGCCAGGCACCCTCCACCCCAGGAGAAGTCCCTTAGTTAGGGAACAGGGAAATGCTTGTAGAAGAATTCTGCACATGTGCACTGAAGCAATGAGAGCATCAGTCTTGACTTTGAATCTGACTGTGTCTATTCCACCAGGCATGGCCCTGAAGATTTTGTCCCGTGGGGCTGCAGTGGAACACAGGCAATCACTACTGTGCCAAGCACTTCATGGCTTGCCTCTGAACAGGTAGACTGTGCAACGCTGACCAAGAGCATGTAGTTCTACTAGGTGCCCCATGGTCTGCCTCCTGCCCCAAGCTCCAGATGTACTGACTCCCCTGCTCAGTCACTTTCAAACCACACTGTATGTGCACTTCTTTGCAGTCTCCCCTGCCAGTAGCCTGCTCTCTTCCATGAGCACAGTCAAATATTATACCATTCAGCTAATAAATAAATACTCAATAAAGGTTTGTTAAAGAAATAATCCTAAAAGAAAACAGTATGATTTAATCAAATGGGTTCTCTGGACAAAACTATCTTCTATCAAAATAGCAGGTGCCATTCCACTAGTGAAACTAAACAAATGCATAGGGAGAATCTAATGTATGCAAGACACTCAGGAATCCCTCCAGAAAAATACTTTAACCTTTTCTCAGTATACACCTTAGCAAAGATGTGCTGACACAAAACTGAAGGAAAGTCCACCTAGGAGTTAATCAGCCCAGCAGTGGTAGAAAGGCGAAAGGGGGCCTCGTTGGTGGTACAAGGGGTTAAGCACAGCACTATGAAGCTATCCGCAGCCTCTGCAGCACTGCTGGCCAGGGAGCTACCCACATGATGCAGAAGACCTCCCTGTCTCACCTGCTGCTCCCCTCAGCAGTGTATTTTGGTCAATCTGCCTGTTCTTCTCCCCACTCTATCTCTGGTGAATCCTCCCACCACCACCACCACCCCATCTCTGGCCTGTGCCCCAGCTCTTGTATGCATAAATAAATAAATCTTTGGGAGAAAAAAAAAGGGGGGCAAGGTGTGTAGGAGGAACGGGCTGGCCTTCCTTGCCTACCTTGTGACTCAGCCAGGGGTGTCCTTGGAGACACTGTCTCTCCCTGCCTACTTCACAAAGATGAAGCAGGATAAAGAACAAAGTCTTATTGCAATGGCACTGACTGCTTGGGATTCGGACTTGGCCACAACCAGGATGCAGGTGGCAGCCCCAGGTTCTATCCCATAGGTGCACAGGATATGCGGTTTTCATGCAATGCAACGTGCTCTCTCACAGATGAGACCAGAACAGTGGAAGGCCATTCCCACTCACTGAAGACCTCATCCATGGCTTTTCTCCCACTGTTTAGGATGTTAGCTGCAGCACCTTGGCCACTTTCCAGTCTGGATAATTACACTGAGGCCAGCAAACTTCACCCTCCAGCTCCAACTAAATAAAGTATTCCTCTGGACTTGCCACCATAACCTTTGCTATGCTGCTGAGGGCTATTAAGGAGCTATTCTGTACATAGGATGGCTGTATTTGTGAAAAATCAATACCCCCCGGTATAACTTTCTGCACTGAGAAGAAGCATATTCCAAAGTATTACTAGAGAAGTTAGCTAGTTTAACTCTTTTCCTACAGTACTAGAAACATTTAGAAAGCAACAGGAATGTCTTCTCAACTTTTTCAACTTTTGCTATTTGTAAAGAGACTGAAATACTTGCATCATCACATCAAGGAAGAGGGTACGTTGTAGGTATACTGGGCAGTATAGGGCGTGGGGTGTGTTGTGGGCATAAAGCTAAAAGTTTTCTAAAGGAAATAAATTCAATTACATTTTTCACATGCTCCTGTACTTTTGAAAACCTGAATATATTAACTCCACTTAAAAAACCACTACAAGATACTATTGTTAACCACTTTGAAGATAAAAGTCCACAGGACATTAAACTCAATGTGTATGTGGGTATGTGTGGAATATTATATGTGTCTAAGAATGAGAAAATATGCTTTCTTGGCTAACCTGCTCGGTAGCAAATGGATGCTGCTTAGATATATATTTATTTGTTTGCTTGTTTTTAGCAATCATCCTATTTGCATGGGTGAAAGCTTACCTGTTAGAATAGTGAAAGCTGGCATAAGGAAACGGAAAACATAAATATCGCTCGCTTAAAGCTTCTCTTTACACTATTAAAAAAAAATCAAGACTTTTAGTGTTGTATTATAAGGATGAAAAGAACAATATATATATATATATATATATATAGTGATTACAAATACACATTCACACATTATCTTATACATGAAGGTATGACAGAAGTTAAATTTTAAGATTCCAAAGGATTAAATTAAATGTATAAACTACAGAAGAGCTCAGAAATTTTTAAAAATAACAATAACCTTAAAATTCATATTAATCCTAGAGGATCCAAAATAAGCACTTGCCCTGGGCAAAATATAACTAGCCTGTGAAAAATGTTGTTGTTGTTGTTGTTTTTATTTCCGTGAAGTTCACTTGAAATATGCCTAGCAGGCTTCTAAATCTAGGTTAAATATGCTGTAAATAAATTTATTCCCCCTACAAATCTGCACAAGCTTTTCTGATGAAAATGGCTCTTCAATGGTATTTAATAGGTCACTACATTGTTTCTGTAGCCAGTCCACTCCAGGTTTTTCTACTTAAGGTATTAACATTAAATGCTTTCCTTTGTTATAAATAATAAACAGTGGAATGCAGGTTCTTTAAAATAGCATAAGGAATGTCAAAATTTATCCCATATGTAATACATTTCCTAAATTTAGAAGAAGGCTTATTATTCTGTATGTGATCCAAGGTCACCACCCAGCAATCCACTCAGGGTCATTTTAGAGTTAGGAAACAATCTGCACTGCTCACAGGTAGGTTACCTGTTACCAATAGGCTTCAGGTAACACCTCTGACAAGACAGCTTTGACTAAAGACTGATACAGGTATTACTCAGCAACACAGTCTGTCCCAGGTACTTCACAGAGCCCTCATCCTACACCAACAGTGTGTCTGTCACATTGCAAACAGAACCTAGAAGGAGTAAGTAATTAGCTGTAATGTTTAACCTCTTGCAGATTAACCAATACAATCTTCCATGTAAAGACTGCAAAGATATAAACAAATAAGGGGCTGGGTTTCCTCATTTTGGGGAGAGGTAAGGGTCTTAGAACTTTTAGGGACTGGAAGCAGAGTACTTAGTATAAAGGGCAACTAAAACCATAGTCAAGCCTGGTGTCCATACTGAAATTTTACTCCTAAATCTTATTGTATTTTCTAAGTATCCTTATTAGCATAAAAATCGCAGTTACAAATTTTGTGTAAATGAAGAACAAAGAATAACTCAGAGAGGACATGGAGGAGAGGGAATTTTTCAAGTGTGACAAAGGAAGAACATCGTGGAGATGGCTGTCACAGGGTCAAGCCACATTACCTCATGGAACATCAGCCTCCCTTAAAATTAAAGGGTTAGGTAAGAGCATCAACCATTAACTCCCACCTAGCAATAAAACCATGCCATCTATTTACGTATCAGAGAGAACTCAAGTTTTCATAATATCCTAAGAGCATGTGATGGCAGCAAAAAATGTGCTTGTGTGTTTAATGACTATAAAGGGAAGAATAAAAAGGGTCTAAACAATACTCCCAATCTCACCCTTTTCAGTGTATACTGGGCGTAAGAGGGCAATTGAAATTAGATGCTTCATTTCATCCCACCATAACAACATGATTCTTATTAAAATAAAATTTTTAAATATTCATTTAAAAAATATCCCAAAGAAACCCAGCTTCACCTTACTCAAAGGAAACTTAGTAGCTCTATCTCATCTGGAGGGCTGTAATGCTTGAGCTACTAGGAATATCAGGATGTGGAAGCAGCTGTCAGTGCTTTGTTTTTCATTCACAGTAGGTGGTTGCCAGGCAACAAAATACTATTGTCTGTTTCCATGATCTATTGGACAATTCTACTGGTGATAATCTTTCTACAGTTTCAAACAGGGCCACCTTTTGGACAAGAGGAAATGAGAAGAAATTCTAAAGAATGACAGTAACATATATACACATATATACAAATAAATCCACTGAATGTACCCCACATTATATGTATAAATGTGTACAGCTAAACACACACATACTTTGCATATAGGCATATGTGTGCATCTGACTATACATTCTTCACTTATCTATCCCCAAAAACTATCTAAATTTGATAGGCTCAAAACTAGAGTCTGAATCCCTGAAAGCAAAGCAAGACATGCCCAAGAGATGTGAAAACATAATAAGAATTATGTTCTCACCACTAGCAATAATTTCCAATTTGTCAGATGCACCAGATTCTGTACCTTGAATACAAAGTCCTCCAGTAGGAAAAAGCAATTCTGTGTACTTATACAAAAATAACAATAAATGGAAAACCTTTACTATCTGCTTTGAGATCTAACAGATTTAACATGTTATTTTACTTACTACCATGTGCTACCACTGCGTAAAAAGATAATTCAAATGGGAAGATACCGTTACTGTTTATACCCAAGAATCTTAAATATATACATTTTAAGAATTGCATTATTCTCCCTGGAATAGGCTCATGTGATTCCCCACTTTGTTTTGATATGGATCCCTGGGGAACGACAGTCATGCTATGTTACTCTTGCATATTTTAGTAGCTTACAAATAAAATAATACACAGTGAACTCAATATAAAGTTGTCAACATTAACTTGCATCAGTTGCTGTTTGTTTTGCATTGACAAGGCTTCTAAAGATAAAAATTACAATATTCTTAGCTGTACAGACACAACATCAAAACAGCCTGGAGGAATTAAAGCTTGAAAATGCTAGAGGCAATCATGCTTTGAAATGAAGAGAAATCAGTATCATTTATGCATATATATTTCTGTAAAGGCCCTAAATAATGCCAGAACAATCTTTGGGTTTTATGCAATGCTCATCCATCTTTCTTCATAATATTTCAAAAGCACTTTAACCATTTAGTGCATCTCTTAAGAGTCTTTGAAATATCACCTTTTGAAATTCATTGTCATTTGCAAATCTGTATGTTACAAGAAAAAGCAAAATCCATTACATGGGTTGACATTACTACAAAGTCCCCTATTTAAATTTTTTTTTTTTTAAAAAAAGCAATGCTAGCAAAACAGAAGCAAAGTGTGTTAATAATGAATGAGGCACTAGCAGAAATTTCTTCTTTGCCAGACAGAGCAGTCTTCAGCAGAACACATCCGCTTCTCCAGAGAACCCATATGGGTTTCTCCTTCACATCTCACCTCACAAATGACCCTCAGCTTCTCAAGCTCACATACCCGTGTCTCTCATTCTCTAGGAAATGATTTCCTTTCCAATGTCTCCACCCTCTTCAGATCCCTTAGGTACCCATCACTTTCTCCAAACTACTTGAACTGCAGTCCAGTTTGCCATGTCCCCCGTATGCATATGTTCCCCTCATTACCCTATATCTGCTTTAAACTTCGCTACCACCAAACATAGTAAAATTTGATAAATTTGAGTCACACATCAGTTTTTTAATGTAACAGCAGCAAAATACTGAGAAAGAAGAGGAGAAAAGCAGGAGTCACTGGATAAGGAGGGTGGGTGAGTGTCTACACGCTGCGCGCTCTGCGGAGCCTACCCAGCTCGCTTCCCCACCTGTCGACCCCACTTTCCCCCAAGTGCGCTCTGCGAGCTGACAACCACAACACTCCAGAATCACCCCCTCCAGAAAGGAGGTGGGGTTACATCTTCAACCAATCAGTACCCGCGAGCCCCGGGTGTCCAACCTATGGGGTGGCCGTGGCCGTGCAGGGGGAGGACGTGGGGTGGTCGGGGAGGGGCCGCATTCGTGGGAGGCGCGCACGTGTGGAGTCCGGAGACGCCGGGAGGCAGAGAGGCGCCGCGCGCCCGGCTCCCAGGACGCGGGCTCTGCACTCTGGCAGCCCCCGAGTCCTGCCGTCCTGCGCTTCTTCGGCTACGGCCGGGCCGGGCAGCATGTGCTCCCGCCGCGGGCGACCGGTCCAAGGCGTCTGAGCCTCGGCGTCGGGAGACAATCACAAATAACAACAACCGCGCCTAGCGCACACTCGGCGGGGACCAAAGTTTCTGACCCGCACTAGAGCGGGCCAGGGCTGGGAGGTGAAGGGGCGCAGGGCGGGAGGGTGACAACCTGCAAAGCAGAGAACAGCAGGAGGTCCGTCCCAGTCGGACGCGGTCCGGGGTGCGGTACCAGGGGCGCCGGGCTGCGGGTGCGCTGTCCAAGGTCCAGGGGAGGTGGGAGGCGCGCGATGGGCGCGGAGCCCGGAGCCAAAACTGGCTGGCGACAGCCGGGAGAGCGGGTAACAGCTGTCTGGGGCGCCTGGCACCCCGGGCTTGTAAAAGTAGCCCGGCTGGAGCTAGGGTAGGGTGAGGGAGAGCGCGGGGGGCTGAGCTGAAGCCCCCACGCTTCCGCGCACCACTCCCTACCCGCCTCACCTCTAGCTTCCGTCCCCTCCCCCCAAGCCCACTCCCCTCGGAACCTCTGGCCCGGTGCGGCGGCGGGGGCGGGACCGGAGATCGCGGGCTCGGGGTCCGGGCGCCGGGTGGATGCTGCGGGCCCGGGAGCCGCTTACCTGGGGTCGCAGTACGCGGAGCGGCGGCAGCCTGGCGCGCAGAGCCGAGAGCCGGGCGCCGGGCGCCGGGCGCGGCGCAGCCCCTCCACGCCTTGACGTTCTCCTTCTCGGTTTCTCTCCGACTCCGTCCCGGGCACCGGGCAGTGGGACCGGTCTGGGCTGCAGCTGCCGTTCCCTCGGCCGCCCGCGCCGCGGCTGCAGCAGACGGAGGACGCCCCGTGGCGGCTGGAAGCCTGTGTGAGTAGCGGCGCCCGAGAGAGTGGGATCTGCTGGAGACTCCGCGGCTCCGGGCGCACGGGCGTGCGCACGCGCGCCTGCGAGTGTGAGTGTGTGTGAGTGCGCGCGCGCCCACGAGGAGGGGGAGTCGCGAGGGGAGGGGGAGAGCCGCCGAGAGATGCTCGTAGGGACCGAGGCAAAATTCTCCGCCTCCGGAAATCCGGAGAGCCGGGGAAGGCGGCTCCGACGCGCGTGTAGCCAGGGGGAGCTACCCGCCAGGCGACCGCGGAGGGAGGCGGCGCGGCGGGGCTGGCTGGGATCCAAACCCGGCCGAGCTAAACCGAGCTCGCCGCCACCGATGCAGCAGAGACGAGGCCCGCAGCCCACGATCGCGCCGGCTTGTGCTGGCTCCTCTTGGGAGGGGCCGAGCCGCTCGCCCCAGCCCACCTCCGCCCCTGTCTGGACTTCTCGGCTAGGCGCAGAGTGGGGAACAGAGATCCGGACCCCACGGTTGCCACGGCGACCTTGGAGGCACCCGACCTGCTGGGGGCGGAGCGGGGCACCCGGCGCACGTGGCCGTCTACTGGCTGGGCCCGGCGAGTGCAAGGCTGCGGGCGTGGAGTGGGCGGTAGGACCCGAGCCAGCGCGGCCCGCGGCCTCACCTGTGTGAAGGATGCGGAGCAGGGGTGTGAGTGGCTCGGTTAAGGGCGCAGTCAGCGTTCAGGTTTGGGGGACGTTGGTGGGGGGAGGAGGAGCGGAGGAATACTTTTTACTCCAGGTGGAATGTGGTCGTCTTTTCTTTTCCGAAGCCACTTTTCCTCAAAGTTGTCCACTTCCCGGGTAAAAGTGGCGGCCTCTTCTTTGTTCACATTCAGCTGACTGCAGGCATCCACGCAGTTCCACTTGAAGTCAGCCTCCTCCCAGGAGATGTCAGTGTGGTCAACTGGTGCCTCCCTTGGCCAGTTAAACCCTCTGTTCCCTCGTTCTTCTAAACCACATTGTACACCGTAGGAATGTTTTCAGTACATTTTTATGTCTTTCCTCTAAAAAAAGACATAGTCGAACAGTATTCCTTTCCATGCTTATTTTTAATTGTGACTACATTTTTGTTCACCCAAGAATTTAAAAGGTCATAGGTCTGGGTGATACTTCAAATACCCTTACTGGAAGGACTGTCCAAGCACTGATTGTATTTTGCATCCTTTTGTGAGCCCTCTGGTACTTAGCACAATCCACATACATAGTGCTATAAATGTTGAATGAATGAATGACATTGTTTTCTAGCTTCACATATCCTGAAGGCAAAGACTTGGATGCTGGGAAAGCCATAACCACCCCTTGAGGCTTGCTGGATTTTAACTTAGGCCATTTCCCCCTGTGTGGCTATTTTCCTCTCTGGCTGCCAGAGTCCCCATACCAAAAAAAAAAAAAAAAAAAAAAACCAACAAAAAACAAAGACAATAGAGAATACTGACCCATTGTGCAACCATACTAGAGTATACAAGCAACAGAGCACTCTGTAGTGAATCCATTGGGATATCCTGGGTGCATGAGAAGACTAAAACTTGCTTTCCTTCAGCCTTAGAGGAATCTAACCTCTCATAATGTGGAAGCCACCATTCATGGAAGTTTATAATGTCTCTTCTAGAGCATAAGGACAGGAAAAGAGTTGTAAGAGAAACACATAATACTTAGAGCTTGTCAGGTACAGGTTTGTGTCTTGTAAAAAGAGCATTACTTCATGGACATTGAAGCTAATTCTGCTAATTCTGCTATAGCACCAGGCCCATATCCTACAACCTTAATATTTCTACAATTATCCTCTTAGATGCAAAAGTCCTCATTTTTGCATTCCATGCTAAATTTCAGCTCCTTTGAACTCAGGCTCTTCGTTCTCTACTCATCACAGCTTTGAAATATAACTGAAATTGGGTGAAAATTAAAATGCATTTATCTGGGTGTTGCTGAGTGTTCTCTAGTGGGGACCCCTTTAAATGATTTCTCTTCTATCACTTGATTTGCAATCTTCTTAGAAGCCATTTGTTGCGACACATAATTCATGTTTTTATTGTTGTTGTGTTGAGAGCTCAGATATTTAAAGTTTTTACTTGAAAGGAAGCTCTAAAACTTGCAGGAGGGGTAGAAAAACACTGATACTCAAAATGGACTCTTGATGGTCAACCATTAAAATGAGATGAGTTAAAAATCTTCTAAAAGTAATTGTAAAGCTATGTTTTCCTTAGAAAGTTGTCTCTAAAGTGTGGGCAGCTTCCCAAGGCTTGTCTTGCTTGGTGGTATGGAAGAATGTAACAAAGCCAGAACTTCTCTGATGCCCACCAAAGGGGGCAGTCTTGTCTTCAAAAAATAAATGAATATATAAGAAGCCAACATTAGAAAATAAGATTATAGGCTTCTAGCAATCTTAATTTGTGTTCATTTAAAAAATAAACAATAGGAAGAAAGAATGACAACATAATATATATAGTATTTCTTACCCACTTACAGTGAAAAAGTTGGGAGAAATAGCTTCAATTAAAATGCTATAAACCAAAAATAAATTTAAAAAAAAGGACAAAAAGAAAATGCTATAAACCATAGCTTCTCATGGTCCTTAAAAACTAAATAATAATATACTACTGAATGATTCATTTTTCATTTGTTATTATTAGTTGAACTCTCAGTCAATAACATAATAATAAAATTCCTATATTCTTCCTAGAAGGAAATGCTCCTTAACATAACTTTTTTTTTTCAGTTTACTGCAATACAATTAACCAGTCAAATATTAACTTCCTTAAAAACACAGGACTGTAAAAGTTGGGGTGTGTAAAGGGACACTTTAAATTGATTTGATCACAAGTAACTATTCCATATTGTCAGTCTAAATAAAAAGCAAATGCTTTGTACCACTGAAGTCTGATCAACTTAGACTGTGACATGTACCATGAATGCCAAAGTCAACTCCTCATGCTGGGAGCCGACTGCCCCAAATCTTTAGAGTGAAAAGGCAGGGACCGTTAGCTGAAGTGCTACTGTTGATTTTACTGGTTGTGACCATGCATACAGATACAGGTAATTTCCCCCATAATTAGGTCCCAGATCATTTAGTTCACTGGGGTTTTAAGTGATAAAAAACCACCTTGGCCTGCACCTGGACGCAAAGTGCCAACTCAGTACAGAGTTAGAACAGGTCAAGAAGTCTTAAGTTATCTTGTTTGTCTTTACATTTTATATATTGCTTTATTCTGTATATTATTAGGGCAACTTAATTCTGCTGG